GAAACAATATTACAAGTGTTCAAGCCACACTTGGCAACTTAGGCATACAAGCCCTCAAATAATTTATTAGAAAATATTATCCATGAGCATTATTGTAATTCTTTTGGAAAACAGAACGGAGGAAGCACGAACCACGTCTTCTCTCCAAGAACTCCCAAAGCAACGGGTACAGGAAGCAAGCTCTAGCCTCTACCTGAAAACTGTGAGGTGGCCTCCCCCGTGAAGGGGAGGTCAGTACTTTGAAGCATTTGAAAAGTACAATGACAACTATACTGCATATAATTAATGTTTCAATCCTTAAGACCCTCAACATAGGTGTTATCATAATTCTAGGAAATAACACATAGTTACCCCTTTCAAATCCTACATAAGTATATATCGTCAAATAGTCGGCCCATAGGCCCATTTGTATTTTGTCAAAACCCCTTTTTGCATCGCCACGCGGTAACTCATTTCCCCGTTTGGATTTAATAATACAATCCATATCGCCCTATGATAATTCAAAAAATATAATCTATATCGCCCTGCGATAAATTTAAAAATACAATTTGTATCGCTCTGCGATTATTCAGAAATACAATTTGTATCGCCCTACGATAATTCGTATTGCCCTGCAATAATTCATACAGGACCTGTCACCGCTACCCAAGTCTCCACAGAGCACTCGGTCGGAGTCCAGCATCCTGCCCCTGGACTCATACCCTGTTCCCGTAGGAAGGTAAGGTCCATTCGGGGTCCTATCTTATGTGTTACCGCTGTCAAAGCCTCGTTAGGTCTTTGATTCGGATTCCACCCTTATACGTGATCACGCTATAAGTCCATGCTATCCAACTCGCTCCGTAGAGCCAAGCAGGGCCATGGTCCTTACATCTATCCTATTATGGGCCCATGCAGTCCGGCACGATCCCCAGACTCGTCCGACCCATGTCCCTCATCTATCCATTAGCAAGTCCATGTGGTCGGGCATCTATCCTTAGACTAGAGCCGAGCCATGACCCTTGCTACCAATCAAACAATCAATTACGGGTATCCTAAAGGCCACCCGGATAATAATATCAACAATCCAATCCTAGGATAATTATACCATTTAAATCATCTAAGGCTATCCCAAATGAATACCCTAGTGACGAAGCATCACAATCCTAAACTTAGGATTAATTTATTTATGTTCATACTATAACCTCGGGCTAGTCACTTAGTACCACCCGAGTTATTCTTAGTTCAAGTTATCTTTCCCCTTTAAACAAACATGGCGGTCATGCCATGACTCATTCTCACTTCATTCTATATTGACTTTACTAACCATAAAGTCAATACAACTAAATAGTGATTAATAAATCATTTTATTAGTTCATCACTATATCACCTAAAATAACATCTCAAGTATATCAAGTAATCATGCTCCAATTACTCAAAGTACCATCAATCATGCATCAACTCTTCATATACAACAATATGATCAATTGCCACTTTACTTAGCATATTAGTTAATAAAAATCATGCTTTTATACTTTAGGTAATCTCATGAATTGACCCACTAGTTATAAACAATATAGTCAGCCATCCTCATCTTATGATGTGCTACAATAGTTGCCTTTGCTAAGCCCTTCGATCAATCCCCGTTCTAGGCCGATTGAAAGTGAAAATTCTGGACAGCAGACAAAAGCCTGGCGGATTTTGCAAAAGGTGGGCGGCTTTCGGGCCTGCAGCTCGAAAACAGTCCCCAACAATGGCGGTTTCCGGCGATTTCAACTCCTATTGATTCCACAACTCTTCTAAGTTAATTACCACCACTTTATATCAATATAATACACTTTTTAAACGTGTACAACCCATGGTTTACTCCGATTTCTTAAAAATCATACAACATAAACTAGTTAAAAGAACTATATGAGTTCTTACCTCAGTCCTAGCCCCTTTTCTCCTTGGATTTCCTTGTTCTTGCTTCCTCTAAGCTCTGAGATTTGTGAGAGGCTTTTCCAGAGCCCTCTCTCTTAGTTTGGTCAAGTGAGTGATGTAGAATGATAGGGGAAACATCTCTATGCAATCAAACCTCCAAAATAAATCAAGGATGGGGTCATGGGGGTGTCATTTTGTGTCTAGGAGCCTTCCTCCTATCTTGTCCGCCCCCTCCTATATTATTGCTCCCATTGGATTATTTAGAGTCTACAAGACATGTAGGAAAAGTCCCAAGTTGGTGTAGGACGTTCCTCCCGATTATTCCTACTATTTTTGGCAGGTTGGGTCAAAATAACACTTGGATTGCCCAAACATTTTCCTCAACTTTGGTTGGCATTTTATTGGGCTTCTATAATTATTATGATGACCCAACTAATTATTTGGTAGCCCGCTCTCAGTATCATGGGCCCGATAAATAATTTAATTAATCCTTCATCAATTAAATATACCGTTCTTGCACACATAAATATTCGCATAGAAAATTCAAATACATATTGAATTTCAATTTCAAGTACATCAGGGTGCGGTGTCACATGCCAGCTACATTCTGGGCAGATGCTGTGTTTACCGCTACCTATATTATTAATCGTCTCCCCACTCCCAACTTAAATGGTGCTACTCCTTTTGAAAAATTATTTCACCATTCGTCTGATTACTCTTTTATGCACGTATTTGGGTGTGCTTGTTTTCCAAATTTTAATGCCACTTCATCAAACAAATTATCTCCTAGATCCACTTTATGTGTATTTTTAGGCTATGCTCCTGAATATAAGGGTTACCGGTGTCTTGATCCTCTTACCGGCAAGATTTACGTCAACAAGAATGTTCGTTTTCATGAAAATCATTTTCCATATTCTGATTTAATTTCTTCCTTGGAAAAATCGACATTGCCACTTTGTCCTCCGATCAATACTATTCAGCTTCATGAGATCTGCCCACCATCTCCTTCTCCTTCGTCGTTACCTTCCCACAGACCCGCTGCCACCCTTCGGCCGATCACCCCACCACCCGACCAACACCATCAGTCAGCCTACACACCCCACCATTTATTCTCCCAGCAGCCTGCATCAACCACCACACCCACTCCATCGACCCCCACCTCATACTCGACCCCGTCCAGCCCACCCTCGGTCTCGGCCGAGGATACCTCTGCCTCACCGCCACCATCACCGCCAACACCTTCTCCGGTCAATTGTCACCCAATGCAAACACGGGCTAAATCTGGGATTTTTAAACCGAAAACTATTTTTAATCTCAAAACAGATATTTCGGCATGTGATCCTTCCTGTTTTTCGGTTGCTAATAAAGATCCTAAATGGCGTGGTGCTATGGCAGAAGAGTTTAATGCACTTATTGATAATCATACTTGGGATTTGGTTCCATTTAATCCTCATAAAAATGTGGTTGGGTCTAAATGAATTTATAAAACTAAATTTAATTCAGATGGGTCTGTTGAGCGGTATAAGGCGCGTGTTGTGGCTCAGAGGTTTACTCAACAAGCAGGTGTAGATTTTTCTGAGACTTTTAGTCCCGTGGTTAAGCCCACTACTGTTCGTATAGTCTTGTCACTTGTTGTTTCGTTTCATTGGGATATTCGACAGTTAGATGTTAAAAATGCCTTTTTACATGGTAATCTGACTGAAGAAGTCTATATGCGTCAGCCTCCTGGATTTACTCATCCCCAGTTTCCCCATCATGTCTGTCGTCTCCGGAAAGCTATTTATGGTCTTAAACAGGCTCCACGAGCCTGGTTTTATCGATTCAGTAGTTTTTTGCTCACTCATGGGTTTGTTTGCAGCAAGTCTGATAATTCCTTGTTTATTTATCGTCATGGGTCCTTGATTATTTATCTTCTTTTATATGTGGATGATATCATTGTCACTGGTAATTCCCCCTCCTTTATTTCCACATTTATTTCTTGTCTTGGCCGCTGCTTTGCTATGAAGGATTTGGAGGATTTACACTTTTTTCTAGGTGTTCAGGCTGTTCGAGTACCATCTGGTCTATTTTTGTCCCAACAAAAATATGTGTTTGATTTTTCTCACCAGGTTTCATCTTCACACTCTCAAGCATGTTCGTACTCCTCTACCTACACAGACTAAACTCTCTCTCTCTGATGGCGATCTTCTGGCAAATCTTACTAAGTATAGAAGTATGGAAGGTGCTTTACAGTATTTAACCATGACTAGACCTGATATTACATTTGTCGTTCACTTGGTTTCCCAGTTTATGCATGCGCCTCGTACATCACATGTTTTGGCAGTTAAGCGTATTTTCAGGTATCTTCAAGGGACCATTGGTCATGGCTTATTACTTCAGTCGAGCACGGCTACTCCTACCATACAGGCATATTCAGATGCTGACTGGGCAGGATGTCCTGAGAGTAGCAGGTCTACCTCTGGCTTTGCTATTTTTCTGGGGCTAAATCTGGTTTCTTGGAAGTCTAAGAAGCAGCCGACTGCCTCTCGATCTTCCACAGAAGCGGAATACAAGGCCATTGATTACACTGTTCAGGATACTTTACATATTCGTTCCATATTATTCGAGCTGGGATTTCCTATTCGAGAGCCAGTACAACTATTATGTGATAATGTTTCTGCCTCTTATTTGTCCACAAATCCTATTCAGCATGCCCGCAGCAAGCATATCAGCATTGACTATCATTTTGTTCGAGAGAGAGTGTCTCATGGAGATCTGTCTGTTCGCTATGTTCCTACACAGTTTCAGCTAGCAAATATATTTACTAAGTGCTTATCTCCACAACGATTTATAATTCTTAGAGACAATCTGCGCATTGTTTCCCCTGCACAGCTTGAAAAGGTGTAATAGAGTAATTAATACTTTAATTAGGTTTCCATATTTTGTATGTTTCCTCATGTACTCAGAACACCTTTTATTATATATATGACATATAGGACTACCACATTGGTAAGCCTCCCAATTATTCTCACAATAGCGACATGTTTTACGGTGGCAGTGACATCCGTAAATGGCATGAAAATCTGGCTGTTACAACTCTTAATTACATAAAAAACTGATAGTGACATGAAAATTTTACAGTGACATTATATTTCTCCAAAAAATATCATATAGTTCAAAATAATTACAATGACCTAAATATTTTGCGGAATGTACGATATATTTTGCGGAAATATACGTGTAGGTTGATTGAGATAGTGCAAAATAATTACAATGACGTTGAAATGTAAGGTCGTGCAGTACAAGACCAAAGAAACTACGTACTTCGTATATCATACAATCGTACTATATATATGATATATACACTCGGTGTTACACAATAAATTGAATAGAGGAGCACCAAATTAAACATGGTTCAAGTTAACAGAAAAGTTTAGCGTGCCTTCAATTTGATCATATGTCATCACTCATCAGAGTCCTGCAGCCCAAGCAGATAAACAAATTGATTTAGCTGATTATCTCAAATTTCAAGCCATATGGTGATGACACTACAACCTCATGCTTTAATTTTTAAGAAAAAACAGCTTTAATTTTTCCTAAAATAAAAGAAGAAAACAGCTTTAATTTTTCAGCTCTATTACACATCTTCAAGCTGTGCAGGGGAAACAATGCGCAGATTGTCTCTAAGAATTATAAATCGTTGTGGAGATAAGCACTTAGTAAATATATTTGCAAGCTGAAACTGTGTAGGAACATAGCGAACAGACAGATCTGAAAAGTTATTAGTAAATATATTTGCAAGCCGAAAAGTGTTATTAGGTTTCTTCCTAACATGCACAAATAGGTTTCTTCCTATTTGGTCACACTGCGCACACACTCACGGACACACACACACAAAGAGTATGTCTCTAGTTAAATAATTAAAAACATAAAAAAGGATTATGATAATAGCATAAGACCGTTCGATAGGTCCTTTTTATAACCAAAATAAGTAAGATTGGAGTTACTAATCTACTAAAATGTTGAATTTGCTAAAAAGACACCCCTATTCAATTTAGTTTTTTCTCAAATAATGTATTCTTAATCGATTCATCAATTTGAGCGCTACCAAACTGAATCTTAGTAACATTTATTATTGAAACATGATATTTTGTAGTTATAAGTAATTAAATCACCCTTAAGATTATTATTATACTTATTCATTCATAAGATACAACAAAGCTATAGTTAAGATTATACAGTATTATTGATGAGTATAATTAAAATTTGTTCATATATACACTAAACTGATACACGCATACTAACCGTGTTGTAAAAAACTAAAAATGGTGCTGTTGATGAATGGCCTTCTGGATGAATGTGACAATCCGGAGAAGAACATACATTGGAAGTAATATCCCACTAGCCTTTATCACCAATAGCTGCATCCCAAGCACACGCATATATACTCAAGCTCGATTTAATTTATGCACTTCAATAGAACTTGAATCTAATACAATTTCTAAGAATCTAAATTTTAAATACAGTACTAACATTAATTTAAATTTATTATCAAAGAGGCTAGGATTTAATTTCATCATCACTCAAACTAATGGATTGAATTGGCCGGGACATACTGCTTAGTTTATAGAATTAGTACGTAATATATATAATTATAATTAATAGTATTATTTTTAGAAATAATTACACAACTATATATGATTAAAATAAATATTGTTATTAAAAATGTGACCTCCTAAGTGTAGTGACTATAGTACTAATAACTTAATCATATTGTATCATGTTCAATTTTTACACGTACTTAAATTAAATGACTATGCAATTATATTATACTCCGTAGTAACTATTACTCGTATTAGTTATACTTTTGTAAATGAGTTTCATTTCACAAATATTTTGAAAGAATCTTTTTTTAAGTATTTTTTTAAAGAATCTTTTTTTAAGTATAATATTCTCTTTTTCCATCACATTGTAATTATTTTTATTGTATGATCTCAGAGCCTCTAGCTATATAAAGTATCATGTATATATAATCTGGGAAATGATCCATCCACTGCATGCGCAAGATAAATAATTAAATCATAGAATTAAAATTAAAATTAACAATAATTATAATTTACTCACAGTTGGAAGTGAAAATGTATTATCATTTTCTTCTCGGGCAACAACCTCATATACATGTCTCATGAGAAGCAAGAATGTGAACTGCAAAGTAATAATTAATGAGGATTTTCTCATATGGAGTATTTCTTACTGTTTGAAATAAAATATGTGGATAAATATTTGACTAAAGTGACTGTAAGTACACTTTAATACTCCCTCTGTATTTTAATGTTCCTTACGTTTGCTTTGGGCACAAGATTTAAGGAAGAATAATAGGGGTAATGGATAGTACAGAGTATATAAAAAGTAGGAGAGAATGTGAAAAAGTAAGAAATAGATGATTTTTTAAAAGAATAATTGAGTATTTTTAAAAGAAAAACTTACCAAAAAGGGAAAGTGTATGAAATTTTTAAATACATTCCAAAATGGAATGTGTATGGAACTTAAAATACGGAGAGAGTAGTTGATTTAAAATTTGAACATATTTATAATCACTAAAAATTAGTAAATCATCTTTTTTATTCAGGCCAATATTATTATTTTGGTCTTATATTAGGTATTATTTCTAAATTTATACGGAGTATATTGCTAGCGAAAAATGAGACCAAAAAATTGAAATTCAAATTAAATAATACTCCTGTTTTTTTATAGGTAAAGTTGCATCAATTTGATTCAGCCAAATAAACTCATTTGAATATTATCATAGACTCTTAATTGTTTACTTGTTAAGTTCTTTTTGTAAAACTTTATACGGAAATATAGACCATATCATAGACGCTTGCTTACGTACAATGAGAGCCATTGATCTACAACAGGAACTACCACTCCTGTGATCTGCGCCGTCGGATAGACATTGTGAATAGTAGGCATTAATTTGCTCATCATCATCAGTATCACCATCTTCCTCGACCTCTAGGAATGGGATCTCCAAACTCCGTCTATAGTTAATTAATAGGAGTAATTAATTAATTAATTACAATTTCAAATGGACGAGTTATCATAATATGCGCCTAATAATTGTCCAAAATGAAATAATTAATTGGACAATATATAAATACTCCGTACCTAGTTGTCAAAGTGGTTGCGCCAGCCATTTTATGCGGTGGGGCCGCCGTGTACCCAGGTTCGTACCTCTGTAAAGTTAAAAATTCGTGGTTTTGTCAACTAACGACATAATTTTATCTCCTCCTCCTTATCCACTTCTACAAATTCCTACCCGCCGCTAATTAATTATTATAATCCGCCCAGCCAAAACAAAAGAGCATGCTAAAAAACAATACTTCCTATCAATTAATAAAACAACCCGAACAGCAAAACTTCGTCATTAATTAAAGTTTTACCAAATTTGTTGATATTAATATCACATTCTTTATGATAATTTATTGAGTTAGTATTGATATTAACATTTATGTATTTAGTTGGAAATTAGCGTGGAAGTTTATTGAATTGTAAGATAAGAGTTCTAAAATAGGACTTTGTATTGTTATGTTTTGGTGGTATCAGACTTTAAATTTAACAATATTTTATAAACTTTGCAGTAATTACTCTTATTTAGGGAATAAAACATGACACTATTTTGAAATCCAAAACGTTTTTACACTAATTTCCCCCACCTTATTTCCTAGGGGCGGGCAAGAATCCCGGTCCCATTGTCCCATTCCGGTATATCCCGAAACCGTACCGGTGTTGTCCCGTTCCGTTTGGGTCTCATTGATTTTGTCCCGCACCGGTCCCGTACCGGTTTAAAACGGGACGGGACCGGGACATTGGAAGGTTATCCCGAACCATCCCGTTGTCCCGTTTGTAATAACTATATAGATTTTGTAGCATGTGACTAGTGTGTAATGTCAACTCAAAAAATAAATGGTAACATGTTTTTAGTTCTTCAAGCCCAATTTTAAATTAAAAATAATACCTAACATGAATATTTACTAACATAGATTTTTATCCCACTTTCTATATCTACATATGAGTATCTCACAGCTAGAACACATGATTTTGAATAAACTAATTCATTTTTGCTTTGTTTTAAATTTAAATTTCAAATTTTGCTAAACCTAACTAAAATCTAATACGTAGTAGCTTTTAGCTTGTGATGAACATCAATTAACTTTTAAAATGTTAATATTTTGGTGCATGATACTTTAGAAATGCTAATATATATATATATATTAATTACAAATGATTATTTTTTGTTTGTTTGGGACGTCTCGAACCGTCCCGAACTGTTCCGAACCATCCCGGTCCCGATTTAAATGGGACAAGAGTAGGACAAAGGCTTGTCCCGTACCGTCCCGTCCCGTTATTATTAATTGGGACGGGACCGGGATAACCCTAATCCCGAACCGTCCCGACCCATGCCCACCCCTATTATTTCCGCTCCTCTACCGTGTCATGCGACTCATGCTTTCAAACCCCGGCCGGGCCCTCTAAAATGTACGGAGTATATATTACGAAGTACCTAATAAGACATGTGTAAATTGTGTGGTTTAGACTATGTTATTTTGCCACTAGCTCGGAGCATTTTTATGGAACATACTCTTACATACTTCTATGATTCATTGATTTGGGTATTGCATTTTAAAAACATAAATTTACGCCTAATAACACACCTCTATGATTGAGTTATTTGCATAATACCACTTATTATTTTTGCTAAAATTAGTAAGAGATAAACATTGTCACGTCACTCAATTTTGTCACTAATAGTACTGTTTCCTCTCTTTATACTTATCCAAGATTGATTGCTACTTGAAAAATATAAAAAAGTCATGTGTTTAATTAATTTGTACACAATAGACAGAAATTATATGAATCAACAAATTAATTTCTTTAAAAATGATGCATACAAATTATGAAAGTTGATAAAATGTAAAGAAACAAAAGAAATACATTATATTTTATACGAGTATAACATAATAAAAAAATAGTACCCCGTACTTTATACTCTGTTCTCCGTATATGATAATAGAAAATTATATAGGAGTATTATTCTTGTTACATTAAATTTAGTTCGAATATATGAATGAATATTTGTTGAGTTAAGTTTCGTGGAATCTTGGTGTACCTAATCTGATGTAAATATCTTTTCTTTTCATTCACGATCATACTATTGGACCGTGCTTTTACAAAAATATGTTCTTTACCTACCAAGAAATAAATTCTAGGAACAAGAAATAAAATTTAAAATACAAGCAAAAATAGAAAAAATAAATAAATTAGACAAGACAAAGAACAAAGGAGATGAAAATTAAATGAATGCTGCCATCCATGAAAAATCAAAGGTTATCATTCTCTCTTTCCTATTTGTCATCATGGCCACCAGAAAGAAAAAACATGTGAAGAAACAGAGTACAGGACAAAGCCCACCAAATTTCAAAGAATGAAGAAATTAAGGTTTGAATAGGGAGTAGGGACACAATTCATAGTATCACACAAACATAAGAGGAAACTTTTACCTGCAAACAGAGTTCACATATTGTGTTTCCTTTTTCATTGCACCATCTCTGTATACATTCTCTGTGTGCAAACTGGTAAAATAAGCACATCGAGTAAAAAATTAGGATCAGGATATGTTTTTCTATATAACGGAGGAAACGGTCCGGCTCAACTTGTTTCCGACTAACTCTCTCATATGAGAAGTCTCGGGTTCGAAACTATAGAAGAGAGTTTCAACCTTGTTTACACCACACTCCCCCGATCCCCGGCAAAAACCATACATTATAAAGGTGATTATAGGGAGAATTAAATGAAAGAAAAAGAGAGAGAGAGAGCTATGTATGTATAAATTGAATACCTTGACTGTGCCAGAACATCCGCAAGGAGATTCCATGGGCTTGAAGCTTTCAAACTCTGCTTCATGGCAGATTCTACAAAAGCATATAGCATTATTTGCCGAATCGTAATAATCATAATCATTATCCACATAAATTGCCACTTCTCCCATTGAGTGTCTCTTTTTCAGCCAAGTATATATTATGTATATTTTTATCACTCTCTATCGATCTCTGAGCGTTTTTCAATCCTCTTATTCTATCAGACTCTGTTTTTGACGGCTTTTGGGCTCTTTAAATAGGGAGGAAGAAGGGGTCCGGTCAATTGACTGCATTGCCTTTTCTCGTCTATTTTTTCTTGTCCTTGACGCGGCGTTTCAGTCGTTTCAAACATTTATCAATAAGTAACTATGAGTCTATCGATTACGTATTCACGTCTTTGTAAATTGACTTTAATTATACAATTTCATTTAATTCACATATATTAGTTTTTTATTATATTTGAATTTGGAAATTGCAATTTTGAAGAAATTTTAATGTAGTTTCCTTGTAGTTAAATTTTAATTATTACAAATTGAATTAATAACAATAGAAAAGATTTAATTTTAACATTGGTTATCAAAAAAATGTTGATAAGATTAGAACATATCAGATCAGACTTAAGCGAATGGATAAGCTCAAACAAGACTTCAATGGATGTGAAATGCAAATAGCTTAGATCAAACATCTATCAGATCAGAAAAATCTGTCCGATTAAAAATTATATAAAATACAGCTAAAAATGTTTTTACTTTGATAGTTCTTGAAAATATGCAGCGACCAAATATTTCTTGGACAAGATCAAATCGGACCAGATCATAAAATATTGAGTGCAATTAATTAATTAAAAACATTATGAAAGAAATATCAGTACATGTAACAAAGACGAAGGCAAACTTCGGATCTATGAGATCCAATTAAATACATTGTACACTGTTGGTGATTCAAGGTATTTAATAAATAGTGACTTAATAAGACTCCTTAGTTTGAAGTTATCCAGATTGGTAAAAGAAAGAAAATTTAATTTGGTGGTAGATTGAATATCCACATTTTTTGAATGAGGACAAACTTACACTAAAACTTAATCACATACTAGTATTTCACAACTAGCAAATATTATTATTAATAATGTTTGATCAGACTAACTTTAAGTTGTAAAAGTATAATATGTATAAAAGGAAGATTAATTTGCATTACTTATATGAAAAGATACAATGGTAGATAAAATTTGAGTATACGAGATATTACGTAAATCGAAGTTAAACATAACAAAAATTAGTAATTTTTTATCATTTTTTCCTTTCAATATGATTACATAAATCTTACATCTAAGAACAAAACGCTCTTAATGTATTTTGGAATTTTTTATGCTTAACTCCAATTTTGAATAATTTCATATAGAATTATATATATAGAGAGAGAGAGAAAAGTTCATGTCAGGACCTCCAAAAACGGACCTTCGTACGGACCTCGGCGTTTGGGTCTCTTCCCGGTGGAATTGTTTGATGAAAGTTTTTGAGCATGTTCTTCATCAAGTTTAGTTTACCCATACCAAATTTCAGCTAAATGCAGTTAACTTCCAAAAATTATTTGACTGCCTTCCCGATGGAATTTTAGCTGAAATTTGGTATGGGTAAACTAGACTTGATGAAGAACATGCTCAAAAACTTTCATCAAACAATTCCACCGGGAAGTGGCCCAAACGTCGAGGTCCGTACGGAGGTTCGTTTCCGGACGGTCCTGACAGGAAGACTACTCTCTCTCTCTCTATACACACACACACACACACACACACACACACACACACACACACACACACACACACACACACACACATATATATACACACAGAAAAGATCACGTCACTCCGGAGGGACGGGAGGCGTCGTCCGGCCAAGGCCATCAGAGGCCCTTCCCGGAAGAATTTTTTGAGGAAATATTTTGAGCATGTTCCATATGAAGTCTAGTTTATCCATACCAAATATCAGCTAAAAATTCAACCAGGAAGGCACTCATATGATTTTTGGAAGACAAATGCGTTTTATATGTATATAAACTGTGTAGTTAACTTCCAAAAATCATTTGACTGCCTTCCCGATTGAATTTATAGCTGAAATTTGGTATGGATAAACTAGACTTCATGAAGAATATGCTCAAAAACTTTCTGCAAACAATTCCACCAGAAAAGGCCCTATATATATATATATATATATATTAGAGATCAAATACAAACCATGTTTAATTTACAAAGTACAAACTTATCTTGGCCATCCGATGAGTTGATCCAAAGGATATAAACGCAAGGTGGCATTTTTGTAATAAAACCAAACTTTTCTAGAGTGCAACTCGTTGAACGTTAATGTGCAACTGCTATTTTATGACTATATAATATGCAATACTTTGAACCTTAATATGCAATGCAAATAACGTCAAGGTGCATCGTACAAACATTTCCACAATAAGCACAATTTGTACTTGATCTTTCCCCTATATATATATATACACACACACACACACATGTATATATGTATGTATATGTATACATGCATATATACATGTATATGTATACATGCATATATACATACATGCATATATACATACATGCATATATGCATGTATATGTATGCATGCATACATGCATGTATATATATATACATGCACATATATATATATACATGTATATATATATATATATATATATATATATATATATATATATATATATATATATATATATATATATATATATATATATATACATATGCATGCATGCATATGTATATATATACATGCATATATGTATGTATATATATACATGTATATATGTATGTATATATATACATGTATATATATACATATACATATATATACATACAGAAAAGATCAGGTCCCTCCGGAGGGACGGGAGGGACCGTCCGAACTTTACGTCTGCATGCATGTATACGTATGCATGCATGCATGTATATATATACATGCATATATGCATGTATATATATACATGTATATATGTATGTATATATATACATATATATATATATATATAGGAAATCTTTCCGGTAAGGTATACCTTACCGGAGCCGCCGTGCGGCCTCCACGTTTTGAGGGCCTTCCCGGTGGAATTTTTGGATGGAATTTTTTGAGCATGTTCGTCATCAAGTCTAGTACATCCATACCAATTTTCAGCAAAAAATTAAACCGGGAAGGCAGCCAAACGATTTTTGGAAGATAACTGCGTTTTATATGTATATAAAAAGTGCAGTTATCTTCCAAAAATCATTTGACTGCCTTACCGATTGAATTTTTTGTTGAAATTTGGTATGGATGTACTAGACTTGATGAAGAACATGTTCAAAAAATTTCATCGAAAATTTTCACCGGGAAGGCCCTCAAAACGTGGAGGCCGCACAGAGGCTCCGGTAAGGTATACCTTACCGGAAGAGTTTCATATATATATATATATATATATATATATATATATATATATATATATATATATATATATATATATATATAGAGAGAGAGAGAGAGAGAGAGAGAGAGTCCCGTTCCTATCAGGAGTTCCTGAAGAGCAGGCCCGTGCGGACAAGCCCATCAGAGGGTCTTACCGATGGAATTTTTTGATGAAATTTTTTGCGCATGTTCATCATCAAGTCTAGTTTGTCCATACCAAATTTCAGCTCAAAATTCCATCGGGAATGCAGTCAAATAAATCCTGGAAACATACTGCACATTATATGTGCGCAGAATGCACCTTTTTTTCCAGGATTTATTTGACTGTCTTCCCGATGGAATTTTGAGCTGAAATTTGGTATGGACAAACTAGACTTGATGATGAACATGCGCAAAAAATTTCATCAAAAAATTCCATCGGTAAGCCCCTCTGATGGGCTTGTCCGCACGGGCCTGCTCTTCAGGAACTCCTGATAGGAACGGGACTCTATATATATATATATATATATATATATACACACACACACACACACACACACACACACACATATATGAGAAATCATCATGTCAGGCCGGTCTGACCGGGAGAGCCGTCCGGCCGAGCCCTTTTGGCGACCTTTCCGGTGGAATTTTTTGATGAACTTTTTTGAGCATGTTCCACATCAAGTCGAGTTTGTCCATACCAAATTTCAGCTCAAAAATCGATCGGGAAGGCATTCAAATATTTTTTTGAATTTGACTGCGTTTTTATATGTATATTTTGACGCAGTCAACTTCAAAAATGGAGTGCCTTCCCGGTTGAATTTTTAGCTGCAATTTGGTATGGATAAACTAGACTTAATGAAAAACATGTTCAAAAAATTTTATCAAAAAATTCCACTGGGAAGGTGCCCAAACAGGCTCGGCCGGACGAAGGTTCCCGTCAGGCCGGCCTGACAAGAAGAGATCTCATATATATATATATATATATATATATATATATATATATATATATATATATATATATATATATATATATAGAGTAATCTTCCGGTCAGGTATACCTGACCGGAGCCGCCGTCCGGCCTCCTCCTTTTGGGGGCCTTCCCGGTGGTATTTTTTGCTCAAATTTTTTGTGTATGTTCCTCATCAAGTCTAGTTTATCCATACCAAATTTCAGAAAAAAATTCAATCGGGAAGGTCGTCAAATGATTTTTTCAAGTTAACTGGTCCGGAAAATACATATACCGGACCAGTTAATTTGGAAAAATCATTTGACGACCTTCCCGATTGAATTTTTTGCTGAAATTTGGTATGGATGGACTAGACTTGATGAGGAACATACACAAAAAATTTGAGCAAAAAATACCACCGGGAAGGCCCCCAAAAGAAGGAGGCCGGACGGCGGTTCCTGTCAGGTATACCTGACAGGAACATTTGTGTATATATATATATATATATATATATATTGGTCAGTTCAAGTGAGAAATGCATCTAACATGAAAAGTGAGAATAAATCTCACCCGTTAGAGATAAGATGTTACCTTAAAAATAGCATAATGTTGCAGTAGAATTTAAGTTTTGTAATTTTGCACTAAAACTATTTCACGTTGCACTAAAATTTGAAATATTGCACCTAAACAATTTCATGTAGCAGTTGACAAATGTAATACAATTTTCTTAGAAGTATTTACAAAATTGCAATTGTGCTAGGCTAAGATTCATTCTCATTTCTCGCCTAAATGTTTCTTCTAGCTAGGGCTGACAATATCACCCGTACCCGCGGATATAAATTGGAGAGTTTCAAGAAGTGACAGTTTACCTGCAAAAATAGTTTTGTGCTGATGCATAAATGTAGAATTTGACAGCTTGAAGAATAAGTTTTATATATGTTTT